CCATCCATTCTTCAGTTCCATCGCCTCGGGGCCTATCGATTCTAAACTTCAACGTCCACCCTTGCGTTTCAGCTGTCCTGGTTCATCAACTGCATAGCGTGCTTCGTGTTTGCCCCTCGGGTCTTGTGTGTGGTGGCTGGGAAGCTCCGTCGATGCCCTGGACCAATTCTCCCCGTGCGCGATCGCTGATCTCAATCCTCCTTCTCTGAGCCTCCGAAATTGCTCTCCTCATCTCGCGCACCTGCGATTTCCTCCGACTCGTCAAAACCCAACAACCATAACCCCTACACCAACAGCCAATCTCGACGTTAGTTGCCGCCCACCATGGCTTCTCCACCCCCGCAAAGCGATACAAGTCCGAGTCGACCCCGGCCAGTGATGCAGGCCGTTCGAGATATTATCACTCCCAATCGGTACCCACGAGCGAGCGGGCTCGCTCACGGCAGACATCAACGGCAATGGACATATATATGATCACCGACCGTGATCCTGCCGAGAAAGACCGTCGAGTTGCCGGTCGTTTTACCAGCAATGGGTCTGTCGCGTCTCATTCCTCGCAGGTTTCCCAGGCCTCGCGCCCATCTCCGCCAACGCTTATTTCCAATCGAAAGTACGTTCTTGATAACTTCGAGCTTCCTCCCACCCTTGACCGCGACCGCACCTGAGGACTTGACTGACTGACGGCCGTGTCTTTGTTGATAACAGAATCCCCGAAAAATACCCACCCTATCAAGAAAACGGGCGCCTGTACCATAGCTACCGTAAGGGAATTTATATGCTCCCGTGCGATGACGACGAACAGGATCGTCTCGATATATTCCACAAGCTTTTCACGGTCGCTCGAGTCTCTGATGGCTTAATCTATGCACCACATCCACCCAAATCACGGATTTTGGATCTAGGATGTGGAACGGGAATATGGGGCATGGAAGTCGCAAATAAGTACCCGGACTCATTCGTGGTCGGTGTCGACATCGCACCAATCCAGCCAGCCAATTGCCCCAAGAACTGTGACTTCTACGCTCCTTTTGACTTTGAAAGCCCTTGGACACTCGGAGAAGACTCATGGGACCTTGTTCATATGCAGATGGGTAGCGGCAGCGTTGTCAGCTGGCCAAGTCTTTATAAACGCATCTTTTCTCATCTTTGCCCTGGCGGTTGGTTTGAACAAGTGGAGATCGACTTTGAACCTCGCTGCGATGACCGTTCGCTAAGTGGGCTTGCTCTCCGCCATTGGTATTCCGCCTTGAAGAATGCGACCGAGTCTCGCACCCGTCCTCTGGCTCATAGCTCGCGCGAAACGATTCGCAATCTGCAAGACGCGGGCTTCACTGAGATTGATCATCAGATGGTCGGCCTTCCCTTGAACCCTTGGCACAACGATGAGCACGAGCAAAAGGTGGCTCGCTGGTATAACCTCGCAATCTCGGAGAGCATTGAGTCACTAAGCCTGGCCCCTTTCAGTCGTGTGTATGGTTGGCCTGTTGACAAGATCCAGCGCATTGCGGCTGATGTCAAAGCGGAAGCTTTCAACAAGGACCTTCACTGTTACAATATCTTGCACATCTATCAAGCGCGCAAGCCACTCGCGAATTAAACCGAGCAGGTATCCTTCCCTAGGATATGATGACGAAGACTGTGAGGGTTCTCGTCTGATGGCCAGCGTGAGACTAAGATAAATGAGCCCCGGAATGTTCTGATCTTGTTGTGAAGTCGACGTGCATTCTCTTGTGCGATTGCTCTAAGTCTCAGATGTGACCAGGCAATCTATGTCAATTCGCAGATATTCAGTCCCGTTGAATATTTTGACGCGGTGGAAGTAAGATCTTGCACAAGCAAGATGGTGTCGCAAAACATGCAATGCTTACATTGGCATCTGGGCGGATGTCATACTTCCCATGCAAATTCCCAACTCAACCAGGCGGGGGAAATGTGCTTTGTTTCTTTCTATTTTCTGTTTCCCAAAGACAACCCCAGGATCTCTTGCAGCCCCAGCCTTAGGCCTTCATCTCTCCTTGATTGCAGCACCCGAGGGTGGCTTGTGATCGAAAATGCAGCAAACTGTGCCGGCTTCATTCGCAACACTCGACTTGGCTATCGATGATCATGACTCACTTTATATCCCTGGATTTTTCTTGATGTTTTTTTTTTGCATGCTATTGTTTAGCATATACGGCGTTCCGGACCGAGCTTCTTTGTTTCGGCTTGGTGTATATACCCAGGTTGCTAATTGTACCTTGGCTCTCGTGGTTGAGTTTGCTAGCAGATAACTTAACAAGCCTTTGTTCAACCCACTCAAACATCTCTAGAGCTTTGGAAGTTAACGTCTTAGGAGAAACCGCCTGCTTTCAGTAAGACTTGGTAGTTTTTATCTTATCCATCGTGAGGGTATCTTAATTCTTGAAGAATGGAATCATCCTGTAGCTATCAATCCAACATGAGTAGGACTGGTTTCGTCTCTCCTGTCAGCTCGACAATTCCGACTTTACAAAACGCCATGAACCACCTGAACGCCATCATCCCATGCAAAGTACTGTAGCAATCTGGCAATACGCCGAATGATGAAACATCACAAAGCCACTTTTACCGTCGACGGTTTCGAGCCGCACCACGCGACACACCTTGAGCAGCAGGGCCGGAGTCTTTACCGGCATCACCGTTGACAGCTTCCCGAACAGTGCCGGGAGTCCGTCGTCGCATTGTACCAGGCCCAACAGCAATGATGTCTTCGCCACTTTCACTGTCTTCAATATCGAGGAGGACAGGTACACCAAAGGTGCCGGCCGCATCTACTTCAATATCACCCTTGACCCGGTCGAGAGTCACGACATCGGGCTCTTCATCTTCGAGATCAAGACGACGCTGGTGAACTTGTTCGGCGGGGTGTACGTCGAATTCGTCCTCGCGCTCCACGTACTCCACGTTCTCTTCCACCTCGCCGAAATCGGGCGCGAGGGCAGACCACTTCTGCGGACTGATAATTGACCACGTATAAACACAGCCGGACTCCAGGCCACAAGCGACAACCAACGGTCGGGATGGATGCCATTCCACCACGCCGAGTTCCTCGCGTGGTCCTTCGAGAATTTTCACCAGGGATCCATGTCCACGTTCCCAAACGTAGACGTCGGGGTTCATGAATGTCGTAGCGGTGACGAATTCGCCAGTCGAAGAGAAGGTAACGTGATTCCAGCTTAGTCGATTGACAACGTCTTGGAACTTGTGCTCGACTTGAAGTTTTATGTTTGAAGGCTCGAGATCGATACCGAGTTGGGAAAGATCGGGCATGAGGACAGTGCGAATGACACGATCGGAGCTGTTGACTAGTAAGTCTCGGCCGTTACTAGCGAGCCGAAGCAGGATGACGACTCCATTGCAGAGGCGCATGGAGTGTATAGTGGTGCAGGTTTCCGTCTCAATGATATTAATCCACCCCTTTGACGTTCCCGCGACTATGTGATTTCCAAATGCTGTAAATATGGTCACGCAAGTCGAATGCTTTGCATCTTGGGCGGCCTGTTTTGCTGCAACGGCCGGATCGATTTCTTCGCCATTTGCAGCCTGTGGACGAAGAGGCGCGGATGGTAGGATTCGTTTGATAGGTTTTGGGGAGGAGACGTCGACTAGAACGGGTTGATCTTCGAAAAGCGAGGCCACAAAGAGAAGGCTAAATAGAGAATCATCATTAATTTTTTGTATTGAGAGAGAGGTAAAGCATGGGCGAGGGAAGACGTACTGGTTAAATGGATGCAGCTCCGCGATGTACACAGGTGCCTCAAATCTGACTGTGCGCACACGCGAGCCATCTTTCAGGTCCCACAAAATACACTTCCAATCTTGCGATGAGGTGAGGAGATATCGACCATCTCGAGACCAGCTGCCGAAAGATATTAGCACCGGATGCCAGATCGGTCTCCTTGTCCTAAGTACCTGAGAGATTGAATTTGGCGGGTATGTCCTTGCAGCTTGCGCGCTACGCCGTTCGTTTCAATATCGAAAATGACAACCGTTCCATCGACCTAGCATAAATTATTAGTGTCCTGGTTGACCTCACACTCCTTAAAAGCATTGTTGGGGAGGCGTAATCACTCTTCCAGAAGCTAGATAGTCACCGGTATGGTCAAATCGTAAACAGGTCGCATGCCCACTCTCTGAAAGTTATTAGTACCAATTCACTGCAGAGATATCATGTGTGCATACGGAGTTTCTCTGTTAAAGTGTCAGGGTAGTCCTGTGCCAGGACGAAGGGGTCGATAAGAGAAAGGTTCATTGTGGCGGGCCCAGGCGATAGAAGTCGAATTCAAAGTCCACAATCCCCAAGCGCCTGAAAAGTAGGCACGTATTAGAGTGAACAAGCATTCAGCATATGCCGACCAAGCTGAAACAATTGGAAGCGCAGAATTGTGAATGTTTGCCTTGCTTGCGCCTGACAGGCTGTGTGGATGCCAAGCTGGGGCCGATCCTATCGGCCAAATGTCTATCTTGCTGGGAATCCCGCGATTCTGCCAACCCCACCGCCCACCCTTTTGGGTGCCCTCCGGCCCGTCGAAAACTCAAGCCCCATCAAACGGGTGAAGGTCACCTCGCCATCTCCCTTTCACCTATTCCGACACGACCACCATCCCCTCCGCCATCCAAGAATATCGCGTTCCGCATCGCGATACTTCTTAAGGAGATTTTCTCACGCGAAGCCATTCTGCGCGCCCCGTTTTCTCTCTTTTCAACGGCTTCGTGACGTTCAGGGACCTCAGGTCGCGGGCGCCCTCGTGGCAAGGGCTGCCAAAGGCCTCAGTCGGCCAGCTGCTTCCACCCTCCTTCGTTTCATCATCGCTTCGGCGCGTATTCGAATCTCGAATCTCGAGCAATCCCGTCACTTCAGTTTTTGCGAATCATAACGACCTCACATCTCTCGTTTTCCCCAGGTTCGCGCCAGTGCTACCGGACCCCCCAAATCCATCCCCCGGCCTGTCATTTTCGCACCCTCACCCGCAACCACCACGATGTCGAACGTTTTCTTTCCCTTCTCCAAGGCGCCTTTGCGCACCGTAAAGGAGATTCAGTTTGGTCTTTTCTCTCCGGAGGAAACCAAGCGCATGAGTGTGGTTCACGTCGAATACCCGGAAACAATGGTAAGTGATGCTGCTTTTTTCACCCGTGAAGAAAGGAAATTTGCTTCGAACACGAGTTCTGATATCTTTGGAAACCATTAGGATGAGCAACGTCAACGACCACGGACCAAAGGTGTTAATGACCCGCGCTTGGGTACTATCGATCGCCAGTACAACTGCGAGACTTGCGAAGAAGGCCCCAAGGAGTGTCCTGGTCACTTCGGCCATATCGAACTGGCCGCTCCAGTGTTCCATATCGGTATGCGTCTACCACGGACGAGCATGACATTTGAGATAATTGCTGACCTGCAAATCTTTTCCCGTTAGGCTTTTTGACTAAGATTAAGAAGATCCTGGAGACTGTCTGCCACAATTGTGGAAAGATCAAGGCCAACGCGGTTAGTCATCCCTCACCGGGATGGCAAACTTTGATGGCATGTTTTTGCTAACGTTGAAATCAGGCGGATCCTAAATTTAGAGAAGCTGCACGCATGCGAGACCCCAAGCGACGATTCGATCACATTTGGAGACTTTCCAAAGATATCCTAGTTTGCGAGGCCGACCCGACACCCGACGATGACGATTACGAGAAAGGAGGCGAGAAGGAGGTAAACAGACACGGTGGCTGTGGCAATGCTCAACCAACCGTTCGCAAGGAGGGTATCACCCTTGTGGGATCCTGGAAGCCTAGCAAGGCCATGATGGAAGACGAAATGGCACAGCCCGAGAAGAAGGTCATCACACCTGCGATGGCTCTGAACATCTTCCGAAACATCTCGACCAGGGAGGTTGAGGTCATGGGCCTGAGCAACGATTATGCTCGCCCCGAATGGATGGTTCTCACTGTTCTTCCGGTGCCACCTCCCACCGTTCGACCCAGCGTCATGATGGGTGCCACAAGTGGCTCTCGCGGTGAAGATGATCTGACTTACAAGCTGGCTGAAATTGTCCGCGCCAACCAGAATGTCCAACGTTGCGAGCAAGAAGGTGCTCCGGAGCACGTCATTCGAGAATTCGAGTCCCTTCTACAATATCACATCGCCACTTACATGGATAATGACATTGCTGGTCAACCCAAGGCGATGCAGAAGGGCAACCGTCCAGTCAAGGCTTTGCGTAGCCGTTTGAAGGGCAAGGAAGGTCGTTTGCGTCAAAATTTGATGGGAAAGCGTGTTGATTTCTCTGCACGTACCGTCATTACTGGTGACCCCAACTTGTCTCTTGATGAAGTTGGTGTGCCTATCTCAACAGCACGAATTCTCACCTACCCCGAGGTGGTGACGCCATACAACATTGAGAAGCTGCAAGCTTTGGTCTCGAGAGGACCCAACATGCACCCCGGTGCTAGATACATCGTTCGAGACAACGGCGAGCGTATTGATCTTCGTCACGCCAAGCGTGCTGGTGCGCAGCAGCTTCTCTACGGCTGGAAAGTCGAGCGTCACATTGACAACGGCGATGTCATTTTGTTCAATCGTCAGCCCTCTCTTCACAAAGAATCCATGATGGCTCACCGCGTCCGCGTCATGCCATTCTCGACTTTCCGTCTCAACTTGTCAGTCACCACTCCATACAACGCCGATTTCGACGGTGACGAAATGAATTTGCACGTTCCACAGAGTGAAGAAGCCCGAGCTGAGCTTTCTGAGCTTGCCCTTGTCCCAAAGAACATTGTGTCCCCCCAGCGTAACGGTCCTCTTATGGGTATCGTGCAGGACACTTTGTGTGGTGTCTACAAGATTTGCCGTCGTGATACTTTCCTGACCAAGGATCAAGTCATGAACGTTATGCTCTGGGTGCCTGACTGGGACGGAATTATTCCCCCTCCCGCCATTCTCAAGCCCCGTCCTCGCTGGACCGGAAAGCAGATGATTAGTATGGCCTTCCCCACGGGTCTCAACCTCCTCCGTATCGACAAGGACAGCTCGCCACTCTCCGAGAAATTTAGCCCTCTTAATGACGGTGGCCTGCTGATCCATGGCGGACAGTTGCTCTACGGAATGCTTTCCAAGAAGACCGTCGGTGCAAGCGGTGGCGGTGTGATTCACACCATCTTCAATGAGTATGGTTGTGATACTGCAGTCAATTTCTTCAACGGCTGCCAAACCATTGTCAACTACTGGTTGCTGCACCACGGATTCAGTATTGGTATCGGTGACACGATCCCCGATCAGAACACGATCAACAAGATCGAAGACGCTGTTCGTGAGCGCAAACAGGAAGTCGATACCATTACTGCCAGCGCTACTGAGAACACTCTCGAGGCGCTGCCTGGTATGAACGTCCGTGAAACCTTCGAGAGTAAGGTTTCCCGTGCTCTTAACAACGCTCGTGACGAGGCTGGTGCTGCTACCGAAAAGAGTTTGAAGGATATCAACAATGCCATTCAAATGTCTCGCTCTGGTTCGAAGGGTTCGATCATTAATATCTCCCAGATGACTGCAGTTGTGGGCCAACAATCCGTGGAAGGAAAGCGTATTCCCTTTGGGTTCAAGTATCGCACATTGCCGCATTTTACCAAGGATGATTACTCTCCTGAGTCTCGTGGATTCGTCGAGAATTCTTATCTCCGTGGTCTCACCCCTACTGAGTTCTTCTTCCACGCCATGGCCGGTCGTGAAGGTCTTATTGATACTGCCGTCAAGACAGCTGAAACTGGTTACATTCAGCGTAAGTTGGTCAAGGCCCTGGAAGAAGTTATGGTCAAATACGATGGCACTGTTCGAAATTCCTTGGGAGACATTATCCAGTTCATCTATGGTGAAGATGGTCTAGATGGTGCCCACATTGAGAACCAACGAGTCGACATCATTCGATGCTCCGACGAGAAAATGAGAGAGCGTTTCCGTGTTGATGTGATGGATCCCGAGCGTAGCCTCGGACCTGAAGTATTGGAGCAAGCTAATGAAATCGCGGGTGACATGGAAGTTCAGAAGTACCTGGATGAGGAATGGGACGCTCTTATTGAGTCTCGAAACTTCCTTCGCACAGTTGCCAAGGAAGACGAGGAGATGATGCAACTTCCTATCAACATCCAGCGAATCCTGGAAATGGCACGCACTACTTTCCGAATCCGCGAGGGCACCATCAGTGATTTGCACCCTGCCGAGGTCGTTCCTCAAGTGCAGGCGCTCCTTGACCGACTGATTGTTGTTCGCGGAGATGACGATATCTCTCGCGAGGCGCAGGACAACGCTACTCTGCTCTTCAAGGCTCAACTGCGCAGTCGTCTCGCTTTCCGCCGACTGGTGACGGACTACTCGCTCAACAAGCTTGCATTCCAACACGTTATCGGTGCCATTGAGAACAGATTTGCCCGTGCAGGCGCTAACCCTGGTGAAATGGTTGGAGTGCTTGCAGCTCAGTCCATTGGTGAGCCTGCTACCCAGATGACTCTCAACACCTTCCATTTTGCTGGTGTTTCGTCCAAGAACGTCACTCTCGGTGTGCCTCGTCTCAAGGAAATTCTGAACGTTGCCACAAACATCAAGACGCCTTCCATGACAGTCTACCAAATCGGAGACAAGACATATGACAAGGAGGGAGCTAAACAATTGCGAAGCGTTGTGGAGCACACTAGTCTGCGGTCTGTTACCGAGGCCACTGAGATCTATTACGACCCCGAAATTCAGTCCACTGTTATTGAGAATGATCGGGATATGGTAGAGTCATACTTCATCATCCCAGAGGATGTTGGCGATGACACCAATCTCCAATCGAAGTGGTTGCTTCGTATCGTCCTCAGTCGTCCCAAGCTTCTTGATAAGGGTCTCACCGTACAGGACGTTGCTACGAAGATCAAGCAGGCTTACCCTCGCGATATTGCAGTCATTTTCAGTGACAACAACGCAGATGAGCAAGTCATCCGTATTCGTCAGATCCAGGATGGCAAGGATGATGAAGACGATGATGTCGAATACGACGTCACATTGAAGAAGCTCGAACAGCATCTTCTTGACACCTTGACCCTTCGTGGTGTTCCCGGCGTTGAGCGTGCTTTCATCAACGAGAAGAGCAAAGTTCGCATTTTGGATGATGGCACTTTGCACACCAGCAAGTCGGATCCTCTCTGCAAGGAGTGGGTTCTCGAGACCAGTGGCTCGCATCTTGCACCCGTCCTTTCTCTTCCTGGCGTTGACGCTACTCGCACATATTCTAACCAGTTTATCGAGATTTTCGAGGTCTTCGGTATCGAGGCCGCTCGTACCGCTCTGCTCCGCGAATTGACACAAGTGCTGGCTTTCGATGGTTCCTACGTCAACCATCGTCACTTAGCCCTCCTGGTCGATGTGATGACTGTTCGCGGCTACCTGACCCCTGTTACTCGTCACGGTATCAACCGTGCCGACAATGGTGCGCTCATGCGTTGTTCGTTCGAGGAGACAGTGGAAATTCTTCTCGAAGCCGCTGCGTTCGGAGAACTTGATGACTGCCGCGGTGTTTCTGAGAATCTGATCCTTGGACAGATGGCCCCCGCTGGAACGGGAGAGTTTGATGTCTACCTGGATCAGACCTTGCTCAACACAGTCGTGTCGAACAATGCTCGATTCGGACTCGTGAACAGCGGTGCCAAGGATGCAATGATTCCGGATGGTGCTGCCACCCAGTATGACAGCGCTTCGCCCTTGGCTAGCACTCCTTACATGGTTGATAGCGATCCCGATGCCAGCTTCTCTCCTATCCCACAGCCTGGTTCGGAATCTCCTGGCTTCCACAACTACCAATCCGATCCTCTCGGATTCGCCAGTCCTGCGGCTCGCAGTCCCGCGGGCTACTCTCCCAGCAGTCCTTTCAACACCAGCCCAACGTCTCCTGGCTACTCTCCATCGTCAAGCTACTCCCCTACCTCTCCGGGCATGGGTATGGGTATGGGTATGACAAGCCCTGGATTCTCTGCGACCAGTCCCGGATTCTCGCCCACAAGTCCGTCGTTTGCCCCCACATCCCCAGCGTATTCGCCGACTTCGCCCGCTTATGGTCAAGCCTCGCCGACTTCACCGTCGTACTCACCTACGTCGCCTGGGTTCTCGCCAACGTCGCCCAATTACAGCCCGACGTCACCTAGCTTTAGCCCAGCCTCCCCTGCCTTCAGCCCGACGTCTCCTAGCTACAGCCCTACCAGCCCTGCGCTTGGTGGTGGGCGACACCTGTCGCCGACCTCCCCGACATCCCCCAAGTACACACCCACCTCGCCTGGATGGTCTCCCACGAGCCCACAGTCCTACTCGCCGACGTCCCCTAACTTCTCTGGCTCGCCGACGTCTCCGGGCTACAGCCCAACTTCTCCGGCTTACAGTCCAACGTAAGTCTCGAAGTCCTTGAAAAGCGTCCGGTGCTTCAGCTAACACGTTCGAAAAGGTCTCCTCGCCAGTGAGTTTTGCTCCGACAAGGCACGCCCTTCTAGGGCATCAGTACCCTTGTATCAACACCAAAACTTTCAAATAAACCACAAAAAGAATCATCTTGCACTTGACATCTCGGACTTGGATGGTCATCTTTTTTAACGATCCGGGCCGTGTTTGCCCCTTTCGATTGTATCTGTTTTAGCAATGCTTGCGAGCCTTCGCTCGCCTTATTCATTTTTGCCCCCTGGAGATGCCCCAGCTCCAGCCGTCGATTCGTTTCCCAAAATTGAGAACGAGATTTGTTGCCCCCCCTTTTCATGAGTGGACGTGGATAGATTCGTGAGGAGGAATCGAGACTGTGTTCTTGGCTTTCGAATACGACTCGGGTCTTGTACCTAGAGTTGTATCCTTGAAGGTATCATCAGCGCCTCGAAGTCTTACTCGGGACCTTCCACGATTCTAGACTTTTGCTTTTTTCTTTTCCTTTGCATGAAGAGCGCAATGGGGGCTGTGTATTTGTTTGATTTTCTCCCGTTCTGTACACAGACCGTAGGGAGCTGAATAAAAAGAATTTTAATGACATTTGTCCTTCAGAGGCTACCACCGGTCGTAGTGTGTCAGTGTAGCTTATAAACTAGCCAACTTATGTCTATTATCTATATTGATGTTCAAGTTGTCTGAAGTCCAGTAGATAAACGTTGTGAGATTGGAGAAACTGAGGTCTTCTCTTGGCGTCTGAATAATTTCAGTTGCTACCAGTATCACACATACCTGGGTATCTTTCTGTCTAGATGCTGCCTAGACGTAAAACTTCTTTACCACTCCTAGCTCCCTCACTATAACCCTAAAAGACTAACACCAAGAAAAGACCTCAGTTTCTCCAATTTCACAACGTTTATCTACTAGACTTCAGACAACTTGAACATCAATATAGATAATAGACATAAGTTGGCTAGTTTATAAGCTACACTGACACACTACGACCGGTGGTAGCCTCTGAAGGACAAATGTCATTAAAATTCTTTTTATTCAGCTCCCTACGGTCTGTGTACAGAACGGGAGAAAATCAAACGGAGCTGATTTCTTCAGTAAGAATTGAATAAGGACAAATAGCCCATAATAGTAGATCGACATTAGAGGGCATATCTAAAGTGCTTAGACTCCATGTCCGTCATATCCTTGAAACCATCTAAAATGGCCTGGGAAGCAACATCTTCTCCGGCGAGATTCTCGGCGTTAGCCCTTTTCTCTCTCCGTGCATTGTCCCATCTCATTGAGATGTATACCATGACGGAGAGAACGATGATTCCCGCGTAGCAAACTAATAGCCCAGTAAGAGCAGAATAGTACCGCGGGGCTTCGCGAGCGAAAAAGATATTAGCTCCTGCAACATTTCCGGCAGCATACATCGTAAACCAAATACCATTGGCGACAGCTCTTTTGGTATGACCTGCCACATTTGTAGAAAGCAGATTCCAAGAGACAATAACTGGCGCGCCAATGATATACTGGAGCCATGTGCATCCAACTAAAGTCCATCGGTGGTCGAGACTGGTAAATCGGATGCCAAGTAGACCGCCGAAAGGAATCAGACACACAATAGCAAGAACTATGCAGCGTGAATTGGGAACATATGTGGCAACGATACCGCATATTGGGACTATGGCAGCCTCAAAAGCACCCGTGGGTAGTTGGAGAAGAGTGGCATAGATTCCACTGAATCCGAATCCTTTGATCAACGAAGAGGCAAAGTTCGACACGCCCCCGTTGATCACGCCGCATGCGATACCAATTCCCGCGCAGCAAAGCACTTTGAAATCGTAGATATTCTCTAATGCCTGTCGAGGTTTGATCTGTTTAGTCTTCACTCCGATCATGTTCTCTGCTACTCGCCGCACGGCGACAACCTTTTGGCGATGGGTTAGGAATCGTGCAGAGCTGGGAGAGTCGGGCATCAGCATGAGGAAGATACCACCACAAACGAAGTTGAGTAGTCCAATCGTGAGAAATATTAGCTGCCAGCTATGAAGTGTCGTGTTGTGCGAGTGTCCAAGGCCAAATCCTAATAGGGCTCCAACCATAGTCGCCATGCCGTTGGCACTCAACCAAATCGCCATGCGTAAAGGCTGCTCGGAGCGCCGGTAGAACATCGATGTTATGACCATCACTGTTTTGGTCAACGCCTGAGATGAATCATGAACGATCTGTAAACTTTCTTACTGCAAGGGCTAACGCCGGCCTCGGCCATGCCTAACAAGAATCTGAGCACCAAGATCCCAGCATAGTTCTTTGCTCCGATATGGGCAATGACGAGTATACTCCAGGCTAGAAGCATACCACCCATATACTTTGCAACTGGGAGCTTTTGGATCAGGAGGTTGGCCGGAATGGCCCAGAAAAGATATCCAAAATTGAAGATAGCAGCGACCCAAGAGTATTTCTGTCCTTCAAGCCCGAGATCGGGGATGAGAGAATAGGCCGATGCATAATTTAGAGATAGTTTGTCTGTGTTTTTCCATACCGTTAGCTCATACTATGTCACAAGAATTGTATAAGGGCCACTATACCGAGAAATTGAATGACATAGGTTACATAGAGCTGAATGAACAGACCACTGGTCAGCCAGATTTCACAGTGATTTGACGGAGGGTATGGTATGTATCTCCTACTTACAATAGGCATGATCCTCCAGTCTAGGATGCGAAGTACCTCAGCGCCTTCTCGCTCCAGATCTTCAGTTGATAGTTGCTCAGCTTCCACGAATAGATTGGCTCCAATATCATGGACCTCCCCGAGTGCAACATCCTTCTCCACAGTGGGCGCTTGATCCACTTTCGACTCTTTTAGATCCATGGTGAACGAAAACCAGTTCGATGACAGCGCAAGTAAAGAGAGAACATAATCCACGTCAGGATCGAGCAGACTTAAATACCCCGACAAGAGACTAGACAACCTTGTGTTATCATTTGCCAAGTAGATAAGCTGTTATCTTGACTTTGTGAGGGAATAAGGTAGGAGGCGGGGTCCTGAGGCCGAGGCGATGCTGTCTCTTCCCCACGCAAGATATGGTAGATAACTATTATACTACTAGGTATACTACTAGGTTTCCTACCCAGTAATATACAGTAAAACTCGATACCCATAAATTTTCTATCTACTAGTACCTTGAGTATACCTATCATCCATAGCTAAGTGATATGCGGACAGCTGCCCGCCCTCGGGGTGTGGGGAAAGAAGCGGACAAGACTCCGCCAACTCCGCCCTCCGCCCTCCGCACGACGTCAATTTGTAGTATAAACCTACTTTATTTGGGCAAAGAAACTCAGTCGTGAGGACTTTCTCTTTTGGTGGGTCATCCCATATGATCCTAGAGGTGCAGTACAAATAAGAAACAAAGGAACTTGCCTTTTCCCCCTTTTCAATTACAAAAATGCCTTCGTCTATCGGTCAACAGCTGGATCTTCTCGACGCCAGTATCGCGGAATTACAAGATGCTCTCTCCTCGGGATCCCTGACGAGCGTGGATCTTGTATCGTGCTACCTCCGAAGAATCAGTGTCTATGATGCAAATGGATCGAAGCTGAGCGCGATCCCGATCCTCAATCCAGCCGTCTTTGACGAAGCAGCGGCCTCAGATGCCAGGCGCACTCAGGGACTCCCATCACGACCATTGGAGGGAATCCCCTACTTGGTGAAAGATAATATCAAAGTCCAAGGGATGGTCGTTGGCAATGGCTCGCCTGCCTTTGAAAAACTCATTGCCAACGAAGACGCGGCTTGCGTGCAGATTCTCCGCAATGCCGGCGCGGTGCTTTTGGGTCGCACAAATATGCCAGCCATGGCGTACGGTGGAATGCAACGCGGAGTATGGGGGCGCGCTGAAAGTCCATACAACTCGGACTATTTAGCCGCGGCTTATGCTTCGGGCTCATCTAATGGGTCTGCGGTTGCGACGAGTGCGAATCTATGTGCATTCTCCCTTGGAACTGAGACTGTTTCCTCGGGGAGATCACCCGCTTCGAATAATGCTGTTGTGGCCTATACTCCTTCAAAGGGGCTATTGCCTCTCCGTGGTGTTTTCCCTCTATATCCTACCTGCGATGTATTGGTCCCACATACAAAGACCGTGGCTGATCTCTTCTGTATTCTTGATGTTCTGGCCGTCGCAGACAAGAATCCGGTTGGAGACTTTTATAATGAGCAGTCGGTTGTTTCCATCCCGTCAATAACATCCATCCGGCCGAAGTCTTTCTCCACGTTGGAGGATAAATCGTCATTGAGGGGCAAACGAATTGCCGTACCTTCAATGTACATTGGGGGTGATGACTCTTCTATCTCACAAGTCAGCAAAGTCAATACCCGACCTTCGATCCTCAAGTTATGGAAGAAAGCACGACAGGTTTTGGAAGCATGCGGCGCCGAAGTCATTGAGACTGACTTTCCCCTGGTGACAACATATGAGTCTAATGCATCAACAGGCCAACTCGTCACAGTCGCAAATCTACCTGATGGTTGGGCTAGTAAGGAGCGATGCGAGGTGGTTTCCCACGCCTGGGACGACTTTCTCGCCACGAACGGCCAGAAAGGCCTCGAGTCTTTGACCTACGTTGATCCCAATACAATCTTTCCACTTGCACCTGGATCACTCCTCGGAACACCCGAAGCAGCTAATAAGCCCCGATGGGGTGAGATCGTGGAATACCCACGTACAAAGCCAGCCTCAATATTCGAGATACCTGGGATGAAACAGGCAATTCAAGCGCTGGAGGATGCCCGAAAGGAAACCTTTGAGAAGTGGATGGACGAGAATGGCCTAGATGCAGTGGTCTTCCCAGCCAACGGAGATATCGGTTCTGCAAATGCCGATGTGGATAAAGATGCTTCTGATTTTGCTTGGACAAATGGTGTCAAGTACTCCAATGGAAACCGGCCTATTCGTCACCTTGGAGTTCCAACTATCTCGGTACCAATGGGGATCATGGATGACACAAGTATGCCAGTCAATCTTACTTTCGCTGGAAAAGCGTATGAAGACAACGATATTTTAAGATACGGATTCGCATTTGAGATGGCCTCCAAATCCCGTGTTCAACCGCTCAGTACCCCGGCACTCGATTCGGACTATTTCCCAACTGGCAATACATCTGGCGCAACTACGACTCGAGATAATCTGGAGCTTATTGTAACCACTCAACGCAAGGAAGTTCGTGATTCAAAGGCTTTTGTTGAAGTGAATGGCTCTGTCAGCTCTCCGGCGAGGAACCTGTCGTGCTACATTAATGGGGAATCCTGTGATGTTTCTTGGGAAGGGCAGCAGTGGAAAATAACCTCCACCTATCCAACTTCTGACAGAGACAGTGATTGGAAGCCCTGGGCGAGTCCAGCAGTGAAGCAGACAATTGTTATCGTGGTAGCGCACTCTGAATCTGGGTCTTCGTCTGGGAAGCTAATTTTGCTATGAGAGCAAGAACACTTGCTGGATTCTTTAACCATCCAGTATTTTGTCATATTCATATTATAAACCTTGGAATTTTATACTTCACAAGCTAGTTCAGTCATATATTCATCTGAAATCTCCTCATATCGCACAAATCCTCCATACATTATATCTTCGATCATCCCAAGTATCGCTCGGTGAAGGTACTTATCCTTCAGCTGTTGCAGATATGATTCAGCTTCTTCCAAGGCGATGGTTTTATTTCCCGTGCTATTCCCACCAGTGTGCCAAAGAACCTTCTGGTGAAGGAATTCAAATACCTTGGAGTATGGCACAGCGTCATCCCAGCGATCTCCAAAACATCTCAAATTTTTAGTGCATGCTTCGATGGCTTCAGGCGAGTCATAACTCCGGGGTCCTTGTTGGAAGCTAGGACTGTCCACTATAGGCCTCGTTGCCCAAATTAAATAAAGAAGCATAATACCAGCCCGGAATTGAAAAACAAGCTGGCCATAGGGTTAGCGAGACTCGGAGGGTATGATGACATAATTCCAATATACATACTGCAGACCAAGTAAAACACATCACCTGTCCTTCCTCCTGGAAGTGACGAAATTTGATACAGACTTCGACAACCGCCGAGAATATGTCTTCCGTTCCATCTTGATCAAGGAAGCTGCTCTTCTCTTCCATCAATATCAAGATGCTATAGTCGTATAGTTTTGTCATCCAGCTGGGGTGATTGTAGCCGCAGGAGACTTCGTCGGTGCCGTAGCGCGGAATATCCTGCCGCCAAAGATCTAGAGCTGTTTTGAGTGAAGAGCTGAAGGCGCTTTTATCCTCGGAGAATTGCCAGCGAGAGCTTTCCAGAGATCGTCTAATATTTGTTTGGATTTTTCGTAGCCGGAACAAATGACTTATAGCTGGATGTGTTTGGACGGGGGGGCTGAACCGAGTCCCCAAGCCTAGACAACTATTATAAAGAGGTCAGTAAATCTTGCGAATGATAAGTTATTCATGGTAGTACTAACATCATCATCGACAGCCTGATATGCGGCAGACACGGGTCGATCCCAGCCAGAGGCCACGATTTCATTTAACATATAACAAGTGATGAACATATTCTCGACTGAGGTTTCCCCCGAGGCACTGAGCGCCTTGTCTCCCTGATTAACCCGTAGGTACTTTCGCATTTCTGTCATTGCAGTAATGCAGAATGGCATAATGGAGGAAACACTTGTGGCAATCTCCTCGGAAGAAGGACAGTGAAAGGCATAGATAATAAGGAGCAAAGAGGCCTGAACCTGTAGAATCATCGACGTATTACCCACAACATGAGGGTAATAATTCATCGCAGATGCGTATAGCTCCTTTGCCCGGCTCAGATGTGCAGGGTCCCTGTGTATGGTGCTGCAGAGGGATGCGCCAATGGCATATACCATCCTCAAGAAGAAACACTTCCACTCTTCTTGGTCCTGCAGCCCATCCTCCCTATACCAATTTTTCCATGTGGATTCGTTGAGGAAGGGCCATTCGCGATGGGCCACCGAGAAATAGACATTCGTGTAGAGTTCTGTCAGCCATGGTGTATCATCTCCGAGGATTGGATATGTTGGTCCTTTGTCGAGGCTCAAAAAGTCCAGGTTCTCTTCATTGAATTGACTGAAAATATTTGCGAAATTGATCGGGGAAAAGGGGGATTGTCGGGATATTAATTGGGGTGTTGAAGATGAGATCAGGGCTCTGTCCTCAAGGGTATGAGTAGTGTATTCCTCTCCAATCAACCCCTCTTCAGAGTCGGTCTGGACGCCTGCATCGCGCAGTTCAATATGTGAGCCCGCACTGCGAGATATATCTTCTAGTTCGGCCACTCGCCTCTCGAGCTCCTTGAGATAGGCAACCGGGATCGTAACGCTATCCCCCGACCTGCGAGATCGAGCAGGAAGACACTCAGCGCCTTTGCGGCAGCATTCCCCACATGTTGGTTTTGCGTGATCGCATTTCCGCTTCAAGCGGAAGCAGCGAGCGCAGGCGATATCTCTCTGCTTGAATGGGCGCGACATGGGAAGTGGAAAAGAAGAGAAAGAAGAATGCGGGGGTGGAGCGGAGAAGGCCGTTGATATTGATAAGAAGGTTTTCGGGACCCAACCGAGGCTAACCCTACATGATAACTACTATTACTAACTTATACTAACTTATACTAGTTGTACTCTGCAAGGAATTTGATAGGCTCAAATCGAGCAGATAGGAACACAGTTCCTCAGTTATCATAACCATTGCCATCCATATTCATCCCGTCCAATGCCACACAATACCAGTGCCTCACTGCCGGATCCACCTGCCGGCCACCGCATCGAAGCCGATCATCTTGGGGTCGATGTTGAGCATTTTCAGCATGTACTTCATTGTAAACTCCTATAGCCAATAGCATCAGCCAAAGATATCTTCCCAGCCAATAAGCCTGCAGTGGTCAACTTATGACCTACCTCCTCTTCTCCATCGATGTCTGGAGTCTCAACGGTATCCTCCGCGTAAATTGGTTGCCCTTCATCTTCATCCTCGTGTTCGTGCTCATGATTCTCATTCTCGAAATCCCATCGAGATGTGTCTCGCTTGCTTTGCTCTCTCCAAGCTGCCATCCCACCCATACGCTTCACTCGTTCCTGGGCTCCTTCGAATACTTCATCGGCTGCTCTTTGGCTAACAAGTCGCCATTTGATGACCAAAGCTGCCAGTTCGGAGTCTTGGGTCGATGATTCAATGCGGTGGGCTTGGTTTGCGGTATCAAGTTCCGAACGCAGTAAAGCCAGTCGTCCTCGTAGCACACTTTGTTGTCGCTGCAATGCCAATACCTCTGGATCTCCAAGGGGAGATTGTGTTGGTGTTGGAGAGACTAGAGTGCCGAGGAATAGGTCGGCGTAGATGGTTGACAGGGGAGGTGTACGGTGAGGACAAAAAGGATCCAGGATCTGTTTTGGACTCTGGGCTTCCGACCATGAAACATGCTTCATCGTTGGCGGGCTGAGCTACCTCTGGAGTTTGGGGAGCGCGTTTGGGTGATGAGTCGATGGCAATGGGGTTGTGGAGCGGAGGCTTAAACGGTTTGGAAAGCGTGGACGGTACGTCAAGGCGACGACGTTTGGGCTGGGGTAGACTGCTCATGTTGAATTTGATCAAGTAGGGGCAAGAAGTTGATGAGGGAGGAGGAGAGGATGGAGGTTGAGAGTGGAAGTGGAAGTAGGCCGAGTGGGCGGGTAAGTCCCGTGTGCATGCGCAAATGTGTTCAAGATTATCTACAGCTAAAATTCAGCGTACAATACAGGTTCATCATCAATGGCCAACCCCTCCTGCTACCCATTGCCCAAATTCCGGATCGCCAGGACGCGGGAAGAATCCACGGTCATTCACATTAGCGTTTGCGTTGTTTAAATTCCCATCTCCCTGGTTCGCGGCATTTTGGTTCTGACGATTACGCTGCTGTTGCTGGCGGATGTAGACGAGCACCAAGAGAGTCGCTGCAAGTCCGACGATAAGAAGACCTTCCAACATGCCCTCATCAATATCAAATTCAAGATCATCGTAGTACCCATCCTCGTGTTCTCCGTCCAGGCTTCGTGATCCAGCATATTCTTCATCGTTTTCCTGTCCCTCATAAAGTGCATCATAATACTGCGCCTCGTTCTCGATAAAGGCCTGAACCCATTCTCTGAAGGTACGACGAGGTCGAACATCTACAGCAAAGAGGAAAAGGAAATAGTCAGTAAATGGCAGGTTGTATACTTGGGAGATCACATACCTTCATCATCACGAATCGGATTGATGTCTCCATTCGTAATGCGGTTCCAGTATCCCCGGGCTCTCAATTTCATTAAGCTGAGCTTGACTGGAAGATACGCCTCGGAATTGGTCTCAAGAGCTAGGTCATAATACCGCTTAGCCATGTGGAAATCCTGCTGCACCGCAACGCCATTCTCGTGCATCCAGCCCAGATTCCAGTATGCTTGTGCGCTGTGGTATGCCTCGGCCGCATTGTGGTAACAGGTCGATGCCTTGTCAGCATCAAGCACAGTCCCCATGCCAGCTAGATAATAGTCACCCATCTTGATCAAGGAATCAATGTTGGCCTGCTTGGACGACCTGGTCCAATATATCAGTGCTAGTGCAGTGTTACGCATCAAGGACGACCGGGTTTTCTTCGCCCATGGCAGGATGGAATCCAGGGAGAAAAGAGAGCGCTGCTCGTCAAGTATGAATGCCACATTTGCTTGGGCATGTTCATAGCCCTGTTCGGCAGCCATCATGGCCGGAACCAGAGCAGCCTCGTTGTCTCCAGCCTCATAGGCAGCGTTGGACTCGACGAATGCTGAGTGAATCGCTTCACCTTTCTCTGCGACCAATTTATAATAAGCCGCAGCGACACCGCAGTGTGGTTGTCGACCAACGCCAAAGTGCGCCATTTCAGCGAGGTAGTAGTAAGCCTCCATCCATCCCCAACGGGCGGCAAGATCGAAGTATCGCGTCGCGGTCGCTATATCTCCTTGATCCAAGAAGAGGGCGCCGAGTCGTGTCTCTGATGCGGGAAGGTCCTGGTCGGCTGCAACCTTAAAGTATGATGCCGCTTTATAGGCATCCTGAGGGACTCCATAGCCATGGAGGTACATCAGCCCCATCTGGTGCTGGCAAAGAGCGTCTCCATTTTCGATGCCACGTCTGAACCAACCGAGAGCAGCTGGGAAGCTTTGTTCATCCCCCTCACCACGAAGGTACATGAGACCAATATGTCCTGCCGCCTTGGCAGCTAGTTTGTCAAGTCCTGCAGATGGGTTAGGACTGATAGATCCATCCTTAGCCCAATATTTCTTCGCAACGATCATGAAATACTTCATAGCTCGTCGAAAATTACGAGGAAGTCCACGGGCACCTTCGTAGTGCATCTTTCCTAAGCTGAAGGTTGCTTTTAAGTCACCCTTGTGGGACAGGAGGTTCAAATACTCCATCAGGTCCTCAACGCTTGCTTCATCGGAGTGGGCAGCGTCCCGCGCGTTATGCCCAGAGCTCGAGAAACTAGCACCTTCTCCGTAAACACCACCCTCTTCTTCTGCCCAGCGATAGGATTCCCTAATCATGGCGTGGCCCCCGGGCGGCCCAGACCGATAGTGCTCAATGGCCTTGTCCGCCACTCTCTTATAATAAAGAATCGCGTGTTTGCAGTTCTTGGGTGCACCGATTCCTGTATGATAGCGGTACGCAAGGGTCATTTCGGATCGTGTGTTTCCTCCCTCAGCGGCAAATTCATGGTACATCAACGCCTTTGCCTGGTCGCGTTCAACCGCATTGCCAATGCCCGTCGCATACATGAAACCAACCATGGATTGTGCCGTGCTGTTTCCAGTCAACCATGCCAGTTCGTTGTACCACAGGAAGGCTTCGCTGAAGTTGCGCGGGTAGGTGAAATTGCCGTGGAAGTTCATCTCGGCCAGAAGAAACATGGCGTCCGGATCCTCCTCTTCCTCCACAGCGGCTCTGAGCTCGTCGACTGCGCTTAAAACATTCGAACTGACTTTGCGTTCTGTTGCATCAGATATGGGCCCATTGAGAAACAGCAACCGAAAGGCCTCACGACCATAGTGTAAGGTGTATGCAAGTAGCCCCGTCGGCCTGTCGGCGTGAAGATTGGTAGGTTTTGTGGCTCGAAGAATATCCCAGGCATTTACAACACGTTCTGCGGTCAAAAGCGAAGACTTGTTAGCCATGTTGGTGCTTCCAGGCTGTCACGCGATAAGCTGGGGATTGACTTACGACTGACCGGCCGAGGTTCTGGCTCTGCAGTTTGAAACAAGTACTGTTGGTTATCCACATTGCTGGCGATGGCGGTCATTGGATCATCGTTGATGGGAGCTTGTGTTGACCCTACTGCATATACCTGTGATAGCACTAGAAATAGGAGTTAGCTGGCTGTCGCGCGACTCCGGACAAGCAAAGGGTGAGGCGGGTGAGGGGCATACGCAGCGCCGGCAGAAAACAGGGGAGTGACGCCCTCATGATGCCTGCGATAAGTGAGATTTGTTGAGGTGTAAGAGTCGCATCGCGACCTGTAGAGGGCACAAGTCAGAGAGAGTCAGCAAGCAATCGGTGATGTAGTTGGATCCAACGGGCCACTTGGCTTGACGGAGCTTCATTTTGCCGAGGGCGAATCACCGCTCTGGTTGTATACCCTGGCTTGGCATGCACAAAGGGCAACCCCCTGAAAGATAAATCGGTCAGTTTAGGTATAGTTCCTATATTTCACTCTTAAGAACTACCTAAGTAATTGATTTCATATTTAACTCAATAGAGTTGTGACGTGTTACCCCTGCGCTACGAAGCCGATAGTTACTACTAGCCCTGGAGTACTAGTAGTAATTTCAATAGTATAGTTCCAGCAACTTATTTATATCCCATTCCAAGGTTTCAAGCTTCAGGTTTAGATTTCTCCCTATTACTAGTACACTAGATACCTAGGAAGGCATAACTGTTCTATGCTATCTGCGTATCTCCTACAACTGAATTACCTAGGCACACTCCAGCCACTAACTTAAACCGTTTTAAAAAGATCAAATTCCAGAGATTATTTACAAATGGGTTAAGCTTGGAGTGGAACAACTTGAGTAATCAAGCCCCATGTATTGTTGACAGCGTCAAAGTGGTTTCTTGAGAATTTCAAGAAAAGCTGCCCAGGGCCACAGCCATATCTGGCCCAATCCTCCTCAAGGATACCTGGGGGGAGACCATCCTGTGGCCTGAAAACACCATAGTGGCATATGCGAGCTTCTTCAGGTACAGCGACCGAATGATCTCCTGTCAATTCTCTGATTGCTATGCCGTAGCTTTCTTCAAGATTCATGAAGTTTTCAGACAGATGAGCAACAGGTGTGCATTTAAAAAACCCTTGCATTGGAGGCGCTTGCCGTAACAAATCCAAAGCTCTCCGCCGTAGAATTGGGTCTCGACATTTCATGACGGTCAGAAAAAGTGGCATGCCAACGCCCATCTCAAAGGTGAAAGGCGGCTGGGCTCCATTTGGCCCTGTCGTGCTAGCAAGGGCTAAACTAGCTTGTTCAACAATGGTTGTAAATCCAGCAAGATGATTGTCATAGACTTTCTCATGCCGCGCAAGGCACTCGGAGACGAAGATAAACAACGCTGCGTGATACATCAACAGCATTGGTTCGACAGTGATTGACATCGCTGCTCTGGCATGGAGATTCTGGCAAATGGCCATATATGCACGATACCAATTATGGAGTCGATCCTTGAGAGATTGTTGTTGATCTAGCATCTCTTGACTAATGGCTGCGTCCCTGCCAACCGCTCCGGCATGTTTTGTTGCCTCATGTTCAAAAAGTTGGGCAGCAGTGTAAATATTAGCGATAACAAGCCGCGCGGAATCAACGGATGAAAAGACAGCGGGCATGTCAATCTTGGCGACCGTATAAAGTTCGCATGGCTGGACACCTGATATCGAGAGTGAAACAGCGCATAGACGCAAAAACAATGGGACGATGGTGTCCTCCAGGAGAGTAATCTTGCTAGTGGAGACCATTCCATGGCTTATTTGAACACGTAGATCAAGAATCAGACTTACTCCTTGTCGGTATAGCTGAAGTGCCTCTTCCACGCGTCCCTGGATCGTCTCTATGCATATGAACAGTATGCAGCTGATAAGTGCGATATATGGATCTGCTCCTCTCCCAGAAATTTGCGAACTAATGCTCGATATCGAACGCGAGTACCAGGACAAAGCCTCTTGCTGTACTTTGTTGAGCGGCTCGGACCTTTTGTGACAATTCCGTAGATAAGTGAAATCTAGACACTGATCTGGATGTTCGAATAGTGCGCTGATTGCTATCATGGCATCCCACACGGCTGGCTCACTGCGGCAAATCTGGGGCACGACGGTTGTCCAAAAGTCAATGCTCATACCACCAGCTAGTTGCGGAGCTGCTAATACAAAGTAGAATTCGAATGCTCGGCGTTCTCGGCGTCCTGAATTTGGCGATAGCGACAGCGTGTGGCAGGGAGCCACGGTTGGTGTAGTAAAGGAGGCCCTAGGGGGCGTATCGCCCTCATAATCGCACTTTCTTCCCGTGCTTGAGCAACGAATACAGTTTGGTCTTTCCTCGCCACATTTGACTTTCCGAATTCTGTCGGTAGTTAGTTGGGACCGAAAAGAGGGGTTGGGGAAGAGCGTGCTTGCAGGTCTTGCAACCGGCTCGGGATTTAGGTGCTCCAATCCGGCGGTCGATCGATCTTTCAGACCCCATTCCTCTTGAGAGTCATTTTAAATGGCCACAAAATAATTATGGCCACCTATGTGTTGAAAAAAAAGGTCGACACTAGACAGCGACAAGGCTCAAAGTGTGGATGCAAATAGAGAGAAGGGCGAACGGTTGGCGGAGGGCGGGGAACATCCGCTTGTTGCCTTTTTAGGTTTGTGCCTGGGGCAGCAACTGTACGAGGTAATTAGCCATGCAGGACGAGATGGCATCGCTGTTCAATTTTCCAACAAGCGGATCGGCCTATCTAGTGGCTACGAATATAATTGAAATTCTTAGATAGATTATCAACTCCGGTGCCTGAAGATTCCTTCAGATACAGTTCTAGGAAAAAAAAGTTTCTGGTGATAGGCAGTCAGGCCCCACCTTTTATTTAGTACCGACAAAAATCTAGACTGAAGATTTGACCTCTGATATGTACAAATAGCTTATTTCTGCCCGGCCTATTCATATTGGATAGTTTCTATAAAACGATAGTTGAGTTTTTTTTGGAAAATTGTTATAATAGGCAAACATACTTGCAATTGTCAATTTGTGGTTTCAAAACATAACCAAAATACGCTAGCGAGACTAGCGTCACCAGAAACTCATGTCCCCCGACTGTCAATGAAGTATCTCTCAAACTCTATATGCCGGTTGTCCAATGCCTCGCCTCTCATAAACCTCGTCCATATCTCTTGAATTTGGGATCCAAGGTCAGAAATCGCCTTCTCGGTATCTTTTCCAGCCAGCATGGGCGCCGATTTCCAAGCCTCGTAGCTTCCGAGTACGAAGGGAATATCAATGCAGTGACAAGCCCCCAATGTACTATTCTCAGCTGTCCATCCAAATGAGTACGTAGTTGAGGATCCACCGGCATCCAAAATCTGTTGGTGAAAGCGTTGCGATGGCCATTTAAAATAGCTTTGAGTAATATACCAAGTACCAATTTTCTCCAAGAAGGATCCAATTATCGGCAGCTTGAGTAAATTCGACGGGCCCATCATACTTGCGAAGGGACGACCGTCATGAGTGGTCCAGCCTATCAGAATAGGAACTCTGGATGCTGCTTCGGAAATCCTTTCATCAAAATCCTTTTCTTCCGGCAAAGGGTCGAATCCAAAACTCGGGGCGAATAGCATCACCCTGGCCTCAACAGGGTCTAGAAGAAGTTTCTTTTGAAAGGCCAGCAACTCATCCACAGTCATTTTCCGGGGATCTTGAGTTAAAAGATGTTCCGCCTTTTGAGATAAAAGAGCTCCTGTAAATTTTCGCTCCTTTAAATCTCGTAGGGGAGGGCTGAGTAAAATAGCACGGTGGAAAAGGCGGCCTGGCGTCTCTTGTGCAGCCATCAGACAAACGATCGAATCGGCCCCGGCTGACTGGCCAACCATGGTGACATTATTTGGATTCCCGCCAAATGCTGCAATATTGTTCTGTACCCATAATAGTGCAGCACGCTGATCGAGGAGCCCAAGATTGGCGGGCGCAATACCTTCTAGTCGGAGATACCCGAAAACGCCGAGCCGATACGTGACGTTAACACAGACGATGCCTCTCCGAGCAAGATCAATCGGCTGATAGCAATCAAGATCCCCACCACCGGATATATACGCTCCACCATGTAGCCAGATCATCACGGGGGCATCTCTAGCATCTTTGGGTGCGGTAATGGACAGATGTAGGCAATCCTCTTCTAAGGCGTGCCCTTTGGTCAATGGGCCCATCACGGACTCTAGTCGTGATGGAAGTTGGGGACATATTGCTGCATGTCTGGTACAGTTTAGAACTTCGGTCCAGTTATCGGTATATTGTGGGCGCTCAAATCTCAGGGCTTTCGCGTAGGGAATAGCCCGGGCATGGACGAGATCGTCGAGCACCCGCACCTTGATAGGACCAGCAGGCAGAGTGACGGTTGCTGTTTTTTCCATCATGGGCATATCGTTCAAGTTTGCTCCCAGCTTCAGGATGCAGAGAGCGAATTAAGCTGTGGGAAAGCCCCGATAGCTGTTGCACATTTATTCATGAGACATGGAGGTCGCTGCGAGGGCGATGTGGAGAAGCGGGGAAGGCGATGTGAAACTGGGTACTCCATCTATTTTGGTTACACATGATTTCCAGGTCACTACTAGTAGAGGTGTACCACCTAGGCATATTCGGAATATTAATGTCTCTATTCCTACTAACTCTCATCGTTTTAACGGTACGATCATGATTTTGAAAGCATTCCAAGGTTAAATGAACGTGTGGGTCCAACTTGAAAGTCAATAAATATTCTCTGTGGTATAGTAAAAAGGGTAACATATGATTCTTGGTGATAACGAGTCCATATATATTCACCCTAACATCTAGCCGAGAGGATTCCAGCCGTTCTCGACCATTTCCACTGTTCTCTTTGTTGCTTCGTCGAGATCTTCCTGTGGCAGCCCTAAGGCAATATTGTCCGAACCCTTGGCCGCAAAGTCACTCATTTCGTTCGAATTCAAAAAGACCTTTCCATACATGGTTTTGACAAAACCAGTAATTTCACCTTGAGAAGTCTCCTCTGCGCCGTCTTTGAGGCGCTTCTCGACCGGTTCATATGTGATTTCCCAGTCGGAGTCGGTTGTGCCTAAGACTCGGTGGAGGCTGTCCAACATATCTCGCTGGGACACTCGGAAGCTATAGATAGAGCAATTGCTATTCTTATACTCGGCCAGTGAAGGGCTTGAGCCAGACTCCGGAAGACTTAGGAGTGCTGCCAGGGCCCGGCCGCATTGGTCCCAAGTGCTAACAGTGATGGTGCGCTTTCCATCGTCGAAGAATGTGACCTTGCGATCCTTGATTGTAAAGCCGAACCATTGCTCGCCTGTGGCCAAGCTCCACTCATACCAGAATCCACAAGATAGCTTTAGGGAAGAAGAGATGCCGCTCTTGACTTCGTTGACTCGGTCAATGGCTATCTTTCCATACGAATCCCCCACCTGGGGGCCACCGGCAGCGACTGGGTAGCCATAGGCGTTCGGCATAATAAGAGAAACACCGGCCTTGCCTGCTGCATCTGCAATCCTCTTATGCAGGTCTTGGGGGGCTCTGACGCTGAGAGTGATTGCAAGAAATTGCTGACCCTTGAGAGCGTTGATAATAGAAGCTTCGTCATCATAGTTCACCTTGACAACGTGAACACCCTCTGGGAGCTTTCCGCCGCCGTCCTCGCGAGTCAATGCCGTGACAGTGTGCTTGCCACCCTCCACGAGTGCTTTAGCAAATGCACCTCCAATGCGACCAGTGGCCTGTAAAAAATTTAGTAAAGCTTCCTAGAAATGATGACAACTTGGTTACTTACACCAACAATGGCGACTTTTTGGATGGTTTGAGCACACATTTTGTGATTTGAGATGGAAAGTGAGTTTTTTCTCGAGTGAGGTGTGATTGAATCTGAGAAGCCATAGTCCGAGAATATCTACTTTACTTATATAGGTATCTTGGTCACTGAGACTATCCAGATGGAATCAATGACGGAGAACGGTTTTAAGAGTCGGACTTAGTAGTGGGTCGATCCTTTCAAGGCTTAGATTTGAGCTAACCTCCGCTCGTATTCATCGAAGATCTCAATGGCCCTCTTTCCCACTCCCCCACTAAAATTATGTCCCCACTTGAGCCATATGATGTCTTATTCGGATCTAAAGGAATGCCGATGAGATCGGAGCGGGTTTCGGGATGAGGCGGTAAAAGCAACTCGGGGTTACCCATTAAGTAAAATCTCGGGGAATTGCTTCTGGCCCCTAAAGTCTAACTACCATCTCAAAGTTCTAGAATTAATTTTCAAGAACTTGAATACCAGTCTAACACGAAAGGCCAGTTACAAGAGCCCGAGCTGGGAGAATTGAAGCTATATTTTTCGCAAATAGCAAAGCTACATAGGTAGCGCCGAAAATAGAAAAGGAAAAGTGAAGTCGACGGCAAGGGTATCTGAACGCGCGCACTTCCCGATATTGCCTGGAACGTTACATTATTGAATCATTATACGGTGAGATAAGCTGACACAGGTGGGTGAAAAACGCCCTCAACTTGAATTAAGCCTTCTCGATGTAATGATCAAATATCTGGGCAATGCTCTTGGCACTTTTCTTTGGAATGCGCTTCTGGTCATGATCATAGTCCACATAGGTGACTCCAAAACGTGTTTCATAACCCTCTGCCCACTCGAAGTTGCTGCAAATTCAAAAGTTAGTATGATTCGAAAAAAGAGAGATAATTGGGCATCATACTCCATAAGACTCCATGCCATGTAAGCCCGCACGTTCACCCCGTCCAGCGTATATGCATCAGCCATGGCACCGATGTAATCACGGAAATATTGCACACGGAATTCATCCTCTAGTAGTTCATCTAGAGGCATGTCATTTTCACCAAGTACGCTAGTACCGTTTTCTGTCACATAGATCTTAGGGTAGCCATAACGATCACTTAACCACTTGAGCAGTTTCCGGAATCCAATTGCGCAAGGTCGCAGCCATGGTGACTGTGTGATGGGGCCGACACTCTTGCCATTCTTGTCCTCGAGCAGCAGCTCCAGATTTCCTGCGATGTCGTCGAGCTCTGGTTCGCCAGTCTTCGCGCGAATATAGTTTGCACAATAGTGGTTCATTCCGTAAAAGTCATTACTGCCTTTCACGAGAGCGATGTCTTCGGCGGTCCAAGTTGGCAACCTGTCGCCTAGCTGTTTTATCATACTGTCGGGATATTTTCCAAGATATATGGGATCAGCGAACCACGAAATGGCGAATTCGATTTTGCGATCGCAAGCTTCGACATCAGCGGGATTTTCTGGGTCCCAGGGATCGGCCCAATCGCCTGTTTTCGATTTCAGTAAAATGAGCGGCTGTATAATATACGAGTATAGAGCGCATACCATTCAGAGTAATTCCGATTTCGCCTCCATTTAGATCTTTGAATTCATCTCGGTAGATCTTCACAGCTGCTCCATGGGCCACGAGGAGACTGTGTCCCACAATCCACGGCTCTGTTGAGCCATCGCCGACAGAGCTCTTAGTACGATCACTTGTATGACCAGGTGCAAAGGCCCCAGTGTTGTAGCCCAAGACACTACTGCACCAAGGCTCATTGAAGGTGATCCAGTGCTTGACCTTGGACCCAAAGGCGTCGAATACAACTCGGGAATAATGAGCGAAGTCGGCAACAAATTCTTCCTTGTTGAGGAATCCACCATATCGTTTGTTTAACTCATCTGGAAGATCCCAGTGGAAAAGTGTCACCATTGGTGTGATGCCTGCGGCATGAAGGTCGTCAATGAATTTGAGGTAGAACTGAATGCCTTTCTCGTTGATGGGGTCATTGCGGCCACCCAGAGGAATGATACGGGACCTAGTTCTAGTAATTAGATATTTGCGGAGTGCGGATAGTGAAAGTGTCCAAACCATGAAATTGAGAAACGATAAGCCTGGGCACCACAGGTTTTCAATAAAGCGATGTCCTCATGAGTTCGATGGTACGAATCGCATGCGATCTCACCTGACCCGCCTCCAGCAATCTTACCGGGAATCTTGCAAAAGGTATCCCAGATGGATGGACCACGACCATCTTCATTTGCACCACCTTCAATCTGGTAGGCGGCCGTCGCAAAGCCCCAAACGAAATCGGATGGTAGAGTGGATTGGGTGATGGAACCCATCGTGATCCTAGGATTCCTAGTACTAACGTGTAAGGGTGGGGGGGTGCTTTTAACTGATCGGCTCAGGTTTATTGCTACACATCGTGACTTATATATGCAAAGCAGGGTCCTGAATCTGAAACCATAGGGGCAGTCAAGGCGAGACACACGCTAAAGCTTCCTTATCGTGCTAGGAATGAACTCCGCGCGGAGCAGAAGCCGTTCCCAGAGCGTCAGCGTGTGGAGCCGCGCAGCCGCGCCTGAGTGGCTTCTGGGGTTTCCAGGCTGACCGGCCCGTTCACCGCAGTTCTACAAGTTCTCGATGCAGATGGATTCAGTAAAGAAAAATGCTAGTACATGTTTTGCCCTTGCCAAGTCTAAACTCCGGAAGACTATGCGTGTCCGATTCGTTTCATGAAATTTCCATTCCTTCGTCATCACCATCCATCTCAGATAGCTCGTCCGCCGCGGAACCTAACCGAAGTTGCGAGCTCTTGTCGCGTTCACATTGGGATTCTCCTCCGAATGAGCTGACCATCTCAAGTTCTGGCCCTGCCACAATGCGACCTTCTGTATCTACCACCTCGCATAATTCGATCAAACTTGTGTGACTGAGCGACTTGAATCCGTCAGTTCGTACCACGCGACCCCAGTGTGTCAGGCAGAACTGTGCGGCTCGACGCATCAACCAGTGTTCGTTGGTTCTACCAGCACGCTCCCAGACAATTGCCGCGTTCTCCACATCCAGTTCACGGCTTAGTCGATTCACGCATAGTAAACGCAGCTTCGGCATGTCGTAAAGGTTGGCCATGACTAACATGCCTGCCACATCGACGACAGTCGAGCAATATTCAGGATGACCTGCGATACTATCTGTATACAGATAGTAGAGAAATGCACGGACTACTGAATATGGTTCCGGGATGTGCATGCGCTTGGTGTGATATTCCGCCATCTGCGCTGAGTACAGGCGCTTAAAGTGTGGCCAGCGCAGTTGCAGGATTATCCTGTGAACATGAATAGGGACCGATGTTGATGAGTTGGGCTCCACGAAAGTCGGTTTCGATTGGGTGGGCGAAGCGGAGGGGGTGTCTTCAGGGTCATCTGCAATCATGAAGTCATGATCATCGCGCGTCGCCGTTATAACAAAATCAGCTCCACTTCCCGACTCTGGGGTCTGATCAAACACGGCAGAGAGGTCAGCCCCGAGCCCAGAAACAGGCGTGTGCCCTGCCGTGTCAGCTGGCCAGGGGACATCTTGCCGGGGAACCTCCGCTGACAACTCGTTGCCGAGGAGTCCGTATCTTTCCAAGTCGATCGAGAGTACCTCACTCATGTGATTTTCATCACTTGCTCCCGGTGCATTCGTAACGTCAAGGCTGCAACCCAACAGCCATGCCTTAGTGCCCGCTTCATTGACCGTACAATAGTGCCATCGGTATCCAGGCCGGAAGATCTCTTGGCCGTCTGCTAGCCGCTGCCAGCGCAGTGAATTGAGCTCTAGGGCGGACAAGTTGCAGTCATGAGACCGCACTGTTTCCGAAGGAGTGATCAAGTCCAATAAGACCCCGGACGCGAATGACTGGAAATGAGTACCTGAGAAAAGTGCGGGCACGTGTGGACCAGAATGGAATCGAAGGCAGGATATGGCGCCAGGGGCGAGTGGTTTACGACGGCCAAAACTGCGCACTTGTACGCTGGCGGAATTGGCGGCGTAGATCCCGGACCGCGGGGACATCTGTTGCGGCGTACTAGACATAGATTCTGGGAGATGAGCAAAGGTGATTGGTGCATCCGGAGTGTCCACGGTACCTTGGGCGGAGATGATTCCGGTCAGCGATGGTGAACCTTTGAGGTCAAGCCACCAGATATCGGTCGTTCGTTCCATGTTGGGTCCCAAACCACCAAATATCCACAGGCGATTTCCCCAAACCCACGCCGTATGATCGAAACGGGCGGTGAAACTCCATGTACGTGACCAAGTCCAGGTTTGTAGGTCCAGGTAGGTGAGATCATCCAAGATGACATTGTTCTCCCCCGTTACCCCGCCGACAATGAAAAGTTTATCGTCGTGAATGACCGCGGCATGGCGTGCTCTTCCCCGAGGGGGAATTCCGTGTATTTCTGGCCCTGTCCATGTGAAGGATTGAAGATCGAGGATAACGACGTCCGCAAGATAATCGCGATGTTCATTCTCGCCACCAAATACGATCAATTTGTCGCCTTGGTACAAGGTCGCGGTGTGTCCTAGCCGAGGAAAGATTCATGGATTAGAAGGGCCGGAATGGTTTCAAGGACAAATTTGACTTACCCATGCGTACCCCAGGGATATCCCCATAGTTATCTACCAACTCCCACCGCAAAGTATTGAGATTTAGACGGAGTACATGGTTGTAAACTGCGTATGATTGTTTGTTAACGAAATTGTGGTGTACGGTGTGGATGGGACCGGGAAAGGGATGGTTCATGGTAGGGGAAAATCAAACCTTCATCGGTGAATTGATCGAAGCCACCGAAGGCGTAGATGTGATCGTTATTGCAGAAGGTCACCGAGGCATTGACCAGACATGCGGGGACATGGCCAAGTGCCTTCTTGACACCAGGCCTGTAATCTGCTGCTGGTTGACGGCCAGCCGCCGGACTGGCGGGCAGTAGGTATGCGTCCTGCTGCTGCATCGGAAGTGCAGGAGAGCGAAGACTGCCAGGTGTGA